CACAGGAACTTGGAGCATGACCTGTCAGTTTGGATGCTACCTGCTCTTCCAACCAGCTCTGGGACCTGGAAAGGTTCTTTAATCTTTCTAACCTTACTAACACTCTGCTTGGTGTCTGCAGCACACCTCGGTTCTCCTTGGTCTTCACTAAGCCTCGTTTCAGATCCTTTTCTGGCTCCTTCTGATCTTCCTGATCTTGAATATGGAGTCAGACCTTGGTCTGCTTTCCTATTTATGCTCACACCCTAATGTTCTTCTCAGGGAAATAACTTTAAAATGCTTATACTCTGATTCAGTAAAATTACAGGATACAAAATCAACACACATAAATCAGTTGCATTTCTCTACATTGAACAAGCCAAAAAAAAAATTAATAAAACAATCCCATTTACAATAGCATCAAAAAGAATAAAATGCTTAGAAATAAACTTAACCAAGGAGGCAAAAGACTTGTATACTGAAAACTACAAAACATTGTTGAAAGAAATTAAAGAAGACACAAATAAATGAAAAGATATCTTGTGTTCATGGGCAAAATCCCAGTGGCATTTTTTAAATAAATAGAAAAACAACCCTAAAATTCATATGGAACCACAAATGACCCTGACTAGCCAAAATGATATTGAGAAAAAAGACCAAAGCTGGAGGACTCACACTTCCTGATTTAAAAACATTACAAAGCTACAATAATCAAAATAATATAGTACTGGCATAAACACAGATATATAGAACAGAATAAATCCATTCATATATAGTCAACTAGTTTTTGACAAGAGTGTTAAAAATACACAATGGGAAAAATACACAAAGTCTCTCTCTTCAACAAATGGTGTTAAAAAACTGGATGGCCACATGCAAATAAATGAAAGTAGATCCATATTGTACATCATAAACAAAAATAAACTCAAAATGGAATAAAGACTTAAATGTAAGACCTGAAACTGTAAAACTCTTGGAAGAAAATATAGAGGGAAAGCTGCCTGACATTGGTCCTAGCAACAATTTCTTGGATATAACACCAAAGCACAGGCCACAAACACAAAAATAAGCAAGTGGAACTATATCAAACTAAAAAACTTCTGCATGGCAAAGGAAACTATCAACAAAATGAAAAAGCAACCTACAGAATGAGGGAAAACGTTTGCAAATACTATATCTAATAAGAATTTAATATCCAACATATATAAAGAACTCATATAACTCAATAGCAAAAAAATCCAATGAACAATGTGCAGAATGATCTGATATTTTCCAAAGAAAACAAACAGATGGCTAACAAGTACACAAAAAGGTCCTTGACATCACTAATCATCACGGAAATGCAAATCAAAACCACAATGAGATATTTCACACCTATTAGAATTGCTATTATAAAAAGACAAGAGCCCTAACCGGTTTGGCTCAGTGGATGGGCGTTGGCCTGTGGACTGAAGGGTCCCGGGTTTAATTCCAGTCAAGGGCATGTACCTTGGTTGTGGGCACATCCCCAGTGGGGGGTGTGCAGGAGGCAGCTGATTGATGTTTCTCTCTCATCAATGTTTCTAACTCTCTATCCCTCTCCCTTCCTCTCTTTAAAAAATCAATAAAATATATATATTTTTAAAAAGACAAGAAATAAGTGTCAGCAAGAGTGTGGAGAAAAGGGAATTCTATCCTTGTGCACTGTTGATGAGATTGCAAATTGGTTCAGAAGTTATAGAAAACATTATGATGGTTCCTCAAAAATTTAAAAATAGAATGACTATATGATCTAGCAATTTCACTTCTGGTTATTTATGCAAAAGACTAACTTGAAAAGATATATGCATCCTCATGTTCACTGCAGCATCTACACTAATAAAAGAGAAACATGGTAATTGGTGTACGACTGCTACCCTTCCCATTGGCTAATCAGCATATCCTTATGCAAATTAACTGTCAGCCAAGATGGCGGCCAGCAGCCATGCACTGAAGGGAGCAGGGAGGTTTGCTTGCTTCAGTGACTGCAGACTCCAACACTTGCCGGCCTCTGAGTTGCAACTCTAAG